GCCTGTGGAACCGGTGGGCCACCGAGGCAGGGCCCACTGCAAGTGGACCAGCCATTCTGCTGTCCCTCGGATGCAGGAATTAATATTCAAACTGAGATTGTCCCGCGAAAAAGTGGGACGACCTGATCACCTTAGACCCAAGGCAAAGGAGGACTTGTTCAGGCCCGGGGAAGAGAATAGTCCCTGGGTTGGGGCCTCCAGGTGGGGGCCTTCCTGAGGGCCAGGCTCACCGGCTACCTCCTGACAGCTGCCCAAACCTGTGCGGCTGGATTCCTCGAGGCCCCTGGATAGCTGCGAGGGAGCCCACGGACTGGCTGGCCTCTGTCTGCCTTTCTTCTCTGCTCTCCCCACCCCCATCCTGTGAAATCCGAGCCCCAGGGGCTGGGCGAGCCTGACAAACCCTCTGAAGATTCCCTGAATCCATCGCTGGCCATTTTCCAGCCCTGGTCATCACCGCCCCCGGCTGCCCGTCCTCCAGACTCTGTGGGGCCACCAGGTCAGCCCCTTGTACAGGAGGACTCCCTCTCAGTGGAGAGGCCTGGGGGGTGGTAAAGAATCCAGACTTCTGTTTACCTTCCAGACCAGCTGATTGGCGCTGGCCTCAGTCTCTGTATTTTCCAGAAAAATCTTAAACTGTTTTGGATCAAGGCCCCTTTGCAAAGCTGAAGGAAAGTATAAACCTCTCTTCTAAGTATCATTTTTCTTTTTTTAGAGACAGGGTCTCGCCTAGGCTGGAGGGCGGTGGCATAATCATAGCTCACTGCAGCCTCCAACGCCTGGGCTCAAGAGATCCTCCCACCTCAGCCTCCTGAGTAGCTGGGACTACAGACAGGAAACACCTCATTTGACTAATTTTTGTATTTTTATTTTTTGTAGAAAATGTATTTTGTAAAAATAAAATATTTAAATTAAAAAAAAATTTTGTATTTTTATCTTTTGTAGAAAATGTTGCCCAGGATAGTCTCAAACTCCTGGCCTTAAGCAATCCTCCTACCTTGGCCTCCCAAGTAAGTGCTGGAACTACAGGCGTGAGCCTCAGTGCCTGGACCCAAAAGATGCTAAAACCCTTTCCCAGAAGTGATGCTTTTTTTGAAGACCGAGTCTCGCCTAGGCTGGAGTGTGGTGGTAGCTAGTTTGGGCTGGAAAATGGCCATCGATGGACTCAGGGAATCTTGCAGAGGGTTTGTCCAGCTCGCCCAGCTCCTGGGGCTCGGATGTCACAGGATGGGTGTGGGGAGAGCAGAGAAGAAAGGCAGACAGAGGCCAGCCCAGCAGGTCAGTGAGCTCCCACGCCTGTAATCCCAGCACTTGGGGAGGCCAAGGCCAGTGGATCACAAGGTCAGGAGATTGAGACTATTCTGGCTAACATGGTGAAAGCCCCTCTCTTCTAAAAATACAAAATTAGCTGGGCGTGGTGGTGCGCACCTGTAGTCCCAGCTACTGGGGAGGCTGAGGCGGGAGAATTGCTTGAACCTGGGAGGCGGAGGTTGCAGTGAGCCAAGACTGAGCCAGTGCACTCCAGCCTGGCGACAGAGTGAGACTCTGTCTCAAAAAAAAAAAAAAAAAAAAGTGATGCTCATACCCTGGGTTTGAACCCTGAACACTCCTTGAGGTTAGAGACCTTTATAAACAAAGTCCCACTGAATAGGTGAGGGGCACTAAGCAGGATGTGCCTGGCCACCGGTTTCCCCAAGGCAGTGCCATGAAGTGAGACAGCCACCAGATGTGCATGGTGCCTGGTGGGCACCCCCAGCCCTGCCCCTAACAGCCAGTGGGTGCCAGCATACCCCAGCCATCCAAGGACCAGGCAGGTGAGAGGCTGTTCCAGCTGGGGGCCCATTCTGAGGATCCTCTGCAACTCCCTGGAAGCTGTATGAATGGAGAGAATCTTCCTCACATCACTTTTTTTTCTTTCTCTTTTTTTTTTTTCCTCTTAATACGGAGTCTCACAAGGTTGCCCAGGCTGGAGTGCAGGGGTGCGATCTTGGCTCATGCAACCTCCACCTTCTGGGTTCAAGCGATTCTCCTGCCTCAGCCTCCTGAGTACTTGGGATTATAGGTGCCCACCACCACACCCAGTTTTTGTTTTTGTTTTTTTGAGATGGAGTCTTGATCTGTCTCCAGGGTGGAGTGCAGTGGTGCAATCTCGGCTCACTGCAACCTCTACCTTCCAGGTTCAAGTGATTCTCCTGCCTCAGCCTCCCAAGTAGCTGGGACTATAAGTATGCAACACCATGCCCAGCTAATCTTTGTATTTTTAGTAGAGACAGGGTTTCACCCATGTTGGCCAGAATCACAGGCTCTGAGGGGGTTGCAGGGAAGGCTTTCCTGCAAACTGGAAGGTAAGTCTTGGGATACCTGAGTCCCTGGGTTTAATGCCCATGCCTACCTCTGGGGTGTCTTGGCCCGGGAAGGCTACCTGGCTACTCACCCACCCACAACTGGGTCCTGGGCTGTGCTGGACCCTGGGTTCCAGCCTAAGCCCCTCCCACCTCCATCCCCCTTCCGGAGTACCCCCCCCAACCTCCACAACAGGCCAAGTATACTCTGGACTCTGGAGACCTTGGGCAGCTCAGCTCAACCTGCCACTCAGCAGGGGTGGCAAGAGCACACCTGAGCTGAGGCTGAAGGTGGGGGTAGTTTTCTAGGCCGTTTCCAGGGCGATGCCACCTGAGCTGGGCGCCAGGCACCTGTTGTCCGGGGAACAGTGCGGGCGTGGCCTTTCCCCCGGGAGCTAGCAGGGCCAGTGGGCTGAGACAGAGGATGGATCAGATTCCAGAGAGTCCCAGGTAGGCGGGGGTGGGCGATACTGGGGAGCTGGGGCATGTTTGCATCACGAAACTGGGCCGGGGGAGAGCAGAGTCGGCCGGGGAGGGCTGTAGGAGAATAAGGCTCAGGAAGGCAGGTCGAAGCTCCTGCATGCGTTTCTGCCCTGAGCCTGTTACTTTTTTGACCCCCGCTCCCTTTCTTCTTCTTTAGCTGGTCCTCCATCTTCCCCTCCTTTGCCCTTGGTTCCCACATGCATGGATGCTATGCATGCTCTTCCTCCCCTGTCCACTCTCAGCTGCAGCGTCCCCTGCTGACCCCAAGGCCACTCATCCACCCGCTGCCTACCAGCCGCTATCCCCGCACCCTCCCTGTGGCTCAGGTCTCCCTTGTGGCGGCCTCCCTGCACTTCACTCTGCTCCTCCCCTGCCTGGGCCTTAAAACCCCGCCTGCAGCTGAGAGCCGGCAGAGTCCCCAGGTGGCACCGTCAGAGGCTGAATCGCTCAGTGGAAATCTGCGCCAGCCCAGAGGGGACAAGGCTGTCTTCAGCGTGGCGGTGCATCTGGAGGGCCCTTGTGAACTCAGCCCAGGCGTGACTGCAGGGTGGTAAGAGCAGCAGCACTCTCAGGGCATCTAATGGACAGCCGCCCCTCGAGGTGACACCCACCACTCAGCTGAGCGGGGCCCAGAGTCTGCTTTGTGCTCTGCGAGGATCAGAGACACCTGCAAGAGGCACAGAGAGACGCCATTCAAGAGGCTCCTGAAACTGAGAACTGGCCTGGCTTCCCCTTTCTTCTGGGCACGAAGACTCCCACCCAGCACACCTGACACACCCGCTGAGTCACCCAGGCTGTCTGGGGCTGAGAAGACCTCATCAAGGGGCCAGATGGCTTCTGCTGGCTTAGAACTGTTGGGCATGACCCTGGCTGTGCTGGGCTGGCTGGGAACGCTGGTGTCCTGCGCCCTGCCCCTGTGGAAGGTGACTGCCTTTATCGGCAACAGCATCGTGGTGGCCCAGGTGGTGTGGGAGGGGCTGTGGATGTCCTGCGTGGTGCAGAGCACAGGCCAGATGCAGTGCAAAGTGTACGACTCGCTGCTGGCGCTGCCGCAGGACCTGCAGGCTGCTCGAGCCCTCTGTGTCGTGGCCCTCCTGCTGGCCCTGCTTGGCCTCCTGGTGGCCATCACAGGTGCCCAATGTACCACCTGTGTGGAGGACGAAGGCGCCAAGGCCCGAATCGTGCTTACCGGGGGGGTCATCCTTCTCCTCGCTGGCATCCTGGTGCTCATCCCCGTGTGCTGGACGGCGCACGCCATCATCCAGGACTTCTACAACCCCCTGGTGGCTGAGGCCCTCAAGCGGGAGCTGGGGGCCTCCCTCTACCTGGGCTGGGCTGCGGCCGCACTGCTTATGCTGGGTGGGGGGCTCCTCTGCTGCACGTGCCCCCCGCCCCAGGTCGAGCGGCCCCAGGGACCTAGGCTGGGCTACTCCATCCCCTCCCGCTCAGGCGCGTCCGGACTGGACAAGAGGGACTACGTGTGAGGCGGAGGGTTCCCCCTCAGAGCCTGCTGCTCCCCACTGCCCTGCACCTTCGACCTTGACCAGAGGCCCTGCTCCACTACAAGCCCCTCCCCTAGGAAAACCCACTTTCCAAAAGCCCAAGCTATGCCTGGCTGCAGGGCTGGGTCTGCTGGCCCGGCTGAGCTCTTCTCAGTGGGGCTCTCTTTGATGCTCTCCCCCGAGCTGGGCAGCCCAGAGGTGTTGGGCACCCTGGCCTGCCCCCACCTCCCCAGTAATTGTTTATTTCCATTGCCCAGGACATTGGCTGGCCTTCCTTCTCTTCTGAGCCCACCCCTGCCCAAGGAACCCTGGCTTCACCAAAAAGGCAGCAGCTCATTGGCTCCAAAACCAAGCAGCTGACTGTACCCTCCCAACCCTGGAGTTGGCATGGAGAGTCTGCCCATCACCTCCCCTTCCTTGACATCGCCACCCAAGATTGGGAATAAAGAGAACATCTGTAACTGGGCTCCCTCTGATCTGTTCACCACCACTGGGGCTGGGCAGGGACAGCCAGGTGGCCTCCCTTGGTGGCTGTCAGGCCAAGGTCTGACTCCAGGTTCGGCCTGGGTTTGTTCACTCAAACCATGGGCAGAGGGCAGAGGGGATCGTGACTCACTTATGTCCACCTCTTCTCCTAGCTAGGCTGGGCACTCAGTAACCCCCTGCAACACGGAACACACCAACAAAACATGCTTTATTTGGTAAAAACATGAGTGTAAGCAGGGCAGGATGGGCAGGGCAGAAGGGTACAGTATTGGAGGTGGGAGTGGGGGGTCTACACATCTGGGATCTTTGGAGGTGTGGACGTCCTATCAGGACAGAGAAGGTCCAAAGTTCTGGAGGAGGGTAGTCCTTTGTTAACGGATCACTTGCTTTCCCAGGGGTGAAGAGTGGGGCTCCAGAGGCCTGAGTAGGATGGAGGGGTGGCTGTCCTGATAAGTCTAGGGAAGCCCAGCTCCCAGCAGCAGGAACTCTTGAGGACAGTCTGTCTTGTCCCAAAGGCCAGCATAGCAAGCAGCCTCCACATTAGTTCCACAGCTCAACTGGCTTCTAAGATGGGCATCTCTAGGGTGGAGAAAGATCCAGAATCTCAAAGCATCCCCTCTTTGGTTCAATCATCCCAAGGTGAGAAACAGCAGAGCCCAGGTGGGAGTCTGAGTCACCTTCTTGGTTGTCTTCAATGGATTTTAAATACCCTCAGTCAAAAGGACAGCAGTAGGAAGCAGAAACAAAAGATCCCAAAGTTATTGGGCGCTACCACCTCTGGATGGCTCTAGCACTGGCGGAGCCCCCATTCCCTTCCACGTCAGACGTAATTCTTGGTAGGGTACTCAGAGGGCCCCCGAGAGACGGCAGGGGCCGATGGCGAGTAGTGGGCCATGTAATGGCTGGGGCCCCGGGCCCTCCCCGAGGGGCAAGTGCAGCACAGCAACCCCCCACCCAGCAACAAAAGGGCCGAGGCTGCCCAGCCCAGGTAGAGGGAGGCCCCCAGCTCCCGCTTTTGGGCCTCAGCTACCAGGGGGTTGTAGAAGTCCCGGATGATGGCATGCGCTGTCCAGCACACGGGGATTAGCGTCAGGATCCCTGAGATGACAAAGACAATCCCAGAGACGAGCACCAGGCGGGCCTTGGAATCCTTGTCCTCCACACAGGTGGTACACTTGGCCCCAGCAAGGTAGACCAGCAAGCCGAACAGGACCACAAGGAGGGCAATGACACAGAGGGCTCGAGCGGCCTGCAGGTCCTGCGGCAGCGCCAGCAGCGAGTCATACACTTTGCACTGCATCTGGCCTGTGCTCTGCACCACGCAGGACATCCACAGCCCCTCCCACACCACCTGGGCCACCACGATGCTGTTGCCGATGAAGGCGGTCACCTTCCACATAGGCAGGGCGCAGGACACCAGGCCATTCACCCAGCCCAGCATTGTCAGGATGACTCCCAGGATCTGCATTCCGGCAGAGGCCATGGTGAGGGTGAAGGAGCTGCACTGTAGTGGGGACAGAAGCACAGCAAGGTGAGGCCTGGAGGGCCCAGACCTCAGGCCACGTGTGGACAGGACACCAGGGGCATGTGCCCTGGAAAGTGGTCATCATATCCCATACTGCAGTGGAGACACGCTCCCTGAGCCTCACTTCTCATGGGCAAAATGAGCACATAATGCTTTAGTATTTATTTTTTTTTCTAGTTATGTGACAGGCACTGGCTCAAGACAGCGAATGTGCAAGCAGCCCTGCCCTGGCCGCTGTGAGTGCAAATGAAAGATGACAGGGTGAAACCTATGCAATGCCAGTCCAGGGTCAGAGCCTGGGATCGGGCCGCAAGGCGGCAAAAAAAAGGATGAGAAGACGGTGCTATTTCCAGGCAGTTTCCATGTAGAATGGTTCGGTTCTGGCCCTGATTTTAAGGTGCAATATTTGTCCGTTTCTTTTTGTTTGAGATGGAGTCTTGCTCTGTGACCCAGGCTGGAGCGCAGTAGCTCAATCTTACCTCACCTCACTGCAACCTCTGCCTCCCTCCAGCCTCAGCCTCCCAAGTACCTGAGATTATGGATGCGCACCACCATGCCAGGCTCATTTTTGTATTTTTAGTAGGGACGGGGTTTCAACAGGTTGACCAGGCTGGTCTCGAACTTCTGACCTCAGATGATTAGACTGCCTTCACCTCTCAAAGTGCTGGGATTACAGGTGTGAGCCACCGTGCTCAACCAAAACTTGTTAGTTTTGACACTAAGATTGGAGATTCCAAGCGTCCTCACACCACTCAATGCCCCTCACAACTTGATTCCACACTCCAGGCTAGCAGACACTAGCTGGATCTTGGGATCTTGTATCTCAGACCCCGCCTTCCCTCACCCTACAGGAGCCACCTGAGCCTGGAGATTAGCCAAGCTCCTCACATCTGGAGGCCCAGCCAAAGCTGGGAGCGGCAGGAGAGTTGAAGAAAAAGATAATTAATCCCCCACCCAAAAGCAGTTCCTTCCCCAAAGCCACTCACTGGCTCTCTCGTACCACCCTTCTGACCTCACCTAAGAGCTGGAGCGTGTAGCCTCAAGGCTGAGGGCCTTTTCCTAATTCCTAAATGCGGTGCTAGACTCCCCTCCAGATCCTGCACCTGTGTCCGCTCATATCCCAGGCAGTGTTGGAGGCTGTCGAGGGGATCACCTCTGCCCAGCGCTTGGCTGTGGCCTCCCACTGCCCAGAATTCTTACGTTCTGCAGCTTGGAGCTAAACTTATCCCTGCCTGCAGTGGCCGGAGGGCAGGCTCTCTACTCATTAGCCGGGGGCCCCAGGCCTGGGCGGAGCTGGCCACCTTGGGAAGACTGACCCGGGAAGGCCGCCGGGTCCAGGCACTAGGCCTCTGGCAGAGTTAGGGCCAGGGCCACGCTGGTCTAGGCGCCCCAGTCCTCTGCCCTCTGAGTGCGTCCCTGCCCCTTTCTTTTCCAGGCACTGCAGACCCGACTCTGTCCGAGGGCTCCCCCGCCCACCCGCCCACCCCAACCCCAGCCAGGGAGCTGCGCGCCCAGGAGGGGTTCGATAGCTGCAGTGGCCTCAAGGTCCGCTTCCGCAGGTGAAGGGGAAGGGGGCGAGGGGCGTCCCGCCCCGAGAGGCAAGGCAGGTGGGGGAGGGCGCCCGGGGTTTCGGTGTCTTTGTCCCTGGGGAAGGGGGAGGGGCGTTTAACCCTTGGGAGCCGCGGAAGGACCGGATCGCCGCGGAGGCTTGGGAGCAGACCGCCCCGACCCTTTCAGGGACTCGCGCATCCAGGTGACTGCAGCCGGAGTTCGAAGGTACCCCTACCCACGCCGCCACCGCCCTGCACCCGACCCCAAGAGGCGTGTCTCCAACGCGCACACTTGCCCCGGACTCACCTGCGAAATGGATAAGAGAAATTCCTAAGCCGAGTGTCCGGAAAGCGGCGGAGGCGGGGGTCTTAAAGACGCGGTGACGTCACTGGACCACCGCCCCGGAGGAGGGGCAGAGACCCTGTCCCAGACGCGAGCGGGCGTGCGAATCCCAGCCTCGTCAGAGGAGGGCGCTGGAGGCTGGGGTCGCTGCGCCAGGCGGGCGGACGTCCAGACTCACCGAGGGTGACGGGCGCCGGGCTTAGGAGAGAACAGAACTTGAGTCTCCACTGCACCGCTTACACAGCGCGGTGACATGGAGAACTCACCTAACCTTCCCGATCCTTCGTTTCCTACCTCGCAAAGTGGAGAGAACAAGTCTGCATTTTATTATGTAACTACTTCCTAAGGTACAAATTAAAGGGCATACTATTAGGATTATTTTAGAGAAAATAAATATTTTCACTGTGTCACCCAGGCTGGAGTGCAGTGGTGTGATCACAGCTCACTGCAGCCTCAACCTCCCGGGTTGACGCGATCCTCCGGCCTCAGCCTTTTGAGTAGCTGGGACTACAGGCGGCCCGCCCCAGCGCGCCTAGCTAATTTATGTTTTGTACAGACAGGATCTGGTTACATTGCCCAGGTTGGTCTCGAACTCAGGGGCATAATCGATCCGACCTCCTTGGCCTCGCACTGCGCTGGGATTACCGGCTTCAGCCACCGCGCCTGGCTAGAGCACATTATTTTTATGCCTTTTGTTTGATTTGAGACAGAGTCCTGCTCCGTTACCCAGTCTGGACTGCAATGGCACAGTCTCCGCTCCCCACAACCTCAGTCTCCGGGATTCCAGCAATTCTCCTGCCTCAGCCTCCCGAGTAGCTAGGATTACAGGCACCCAACACCAGGCACGGCTAAATTTTGGAATTTTAATTGTGACAGGGTTTCACTCATCTTGGCCGGGTTGGTCTTGAACTCCTGACCTCCTGATCCACCTGCCTCCACCTCCCAAAGTGCTGTGATTAGAGGCGTCAGCCACCGCGCCAGCCCTATTTTTATGTTGTTACTGTTACACCCCTCAGGCCCTTAAGAAAGCTGCAGTGCCCAGTCCAACCTGGGCAATATAGTGAGACCTCGGTGTCTACAAAAAATGAAAAAATGGCCAGGCGCAGTGGCTCACGCCTGTAATCCTAGCCCTTTGGGAGGCCGAGGCGGGCGGATCACCTGACATCGGGAGTTAGAGACCAGGCAGACCAACATGGAGAAATCCCGTCTCTACTACAAATACAAAATTAGCCTGGTAGTGCGTGCCTGTAATCCTAGCTACTCCGGAGGCTGAGGCAGGAAAATCGCTAGAACCGGGAGGCAAAGGTTGCGGTGAGCCGAGATCGTGCCATTGCTCTCCAGCCTAGGCAACGAGAGCAGAAACTCTGTTTCAAAAAAAAAAAAAAAAAAAAAAAAAAAATTAGCCGGGCGTGATGGTGCGTGCCTGTGGTCACAGCTAGTGGGGAGGCTGAGGTGGGAGACTCACCTGAGCCGAGAGAGCCGAGATTGCGCCACTGCACTCCACATTGAGCAAGAGTGAGATGCAATCTCAAGAGGTGTGGAGTGGTGGGGTAGGAAGGAAGCTGCAGTGATCTGCAGGAATTGTTCGTGATTTTTTTTTTTTTTTTTTTTTTTGGACCGGGTTTTTTTTTCTGTCGCTCGGGTGGGATGGGGGGCAGTGGAGCGATTTCGGCTTACTACAACCTCCGCCTCCCGGGTTCAAGCGATTCTTCCGACACAGCCTCCCAAGTAGTTGGGATTACAGGCGCGCGCCACCACGCCCGGCTAATTTTTGTGTTTTTAGTAGACATGGGGTTTCATCATGTTGGTCAGGCTGGTCTGGAACTCCTGACCTCGTGATCTTCCCGCCTCGGCCTCCCAAAGTGGTGGGATTACAGGCGTGAGCCACCGCGCCCAGCCTTTCTTGACTGATTTCTGTATGTGCTGCCGAAGGAAGCACTCGTGTCTGATTTCTGATTTCCCTACCCCACGCGCCCCGGACTAGACCACAGGCGGGGCAAAGGAGGGGTCTACGTGCCTGCCAGGTCCTGGCAGCTCCCGCGCCAGGACTTCGTTGAATGAATGAATGAACGCAGCGGGCCCCTGGCGTGCTGGAGCGGACCTCACTGCGGGCGGAGGCGAAAGCTCCGCCCCGGAAGGCGGGGGCGGGGGCGGGGCAGCGGCCATGGGTCTTGCCGGCCGGCGGCGGGCGCAGACAGCCGCGGGCGCGGGACGTGCACCATGGCTCGGGGCTCGCTGCGCCCGTTGCTGCTGCTCCTCGTGCTGGGGCTCCGGCTGGCGTTGCTGCGCGCCGTGGCCGGAGAGTGGGCGCCAGGTACGCGGGGTGCGGGGATCGGGGAACCCTGGGCGGGGGCTCTGGAGCCGAGATTGGGTGCCCGGAGGACAGCGCGGAACTGGGGGAACAGGCGGATGTGGGGATCTGGGGTCAGGTGGGCTTCAGACAGCGCGCTTCCCGCTGTGGGAGCTTCCATCACTTTCCAAGCTTCATTCACAATCCGGGCCTCAGTTTCTCCCACTGTCCAATTGGGGTTGGGTGGGGGAGGGATCTTCGGTTCCGAAAGTTCGAACTAGAAGTGGAGAGAGAAAGTAAGTTTTGAGGGCGGGATGTTTAGTCTAGGAAGCGGCACGCCCCCAGCCCGGTCTGTACGCGGTCTAACTAGCCCCAGTGACCGACGAGTTGGGGGGGCTGTCGAGAGGCACTAGGGTCTGTGCCCTCTATACCATGTAGGATGCCCCCTTCCATCCGGTGACTTCAGTGCCCAGCTATGCGGGGGGAGGGACCGGGGTCGGGCCCGGTGCCCAGGAGTGAGTCACCCGCCGGCGGCAGGGGGGTTATGGGGACCTGACACCCCCACACCCAGCGTCCCGCGCTACGCCCTCCCTCCTGGAGCTGCCGTGTCCCGGTCGGGCCGTGCGGTCACCTGTGAGGAATGTGCGGGGAGGGCGCCAGTGACTCACGTTATTCGAGCCGGCCGACCCTGACCTCAGGCCCCAGAATAGCCGAGTCCCGCCCCCAGCCTCTGACCCTCGGCCCCCTCCCCAGACACCGCCCCCTGCTCCCGCGGCAGTTCCTGGAGCGCGGACCTGGACAAGTGCATGGACTGCGCGTCGTGCCGGGCGCGACCACACAGCGACTTCTGCCTAGGCTGTGAGTGGGGGGCGGGGCCAGTGGCGATCGGATCCCTGACTGGGAGAAAGCGTGGCTGGTGCGGAGAGGGGGGCCGAGGGCTTCGCATCTGGGAAATCAATCAGGGGAAGGTGGGAGTGGGGAGGGGTCTCAGGTCAGGGAGGGGGCCACGGCTGGGAGAAGGCTGAAGGCTCAGTCCTAGGGGGCTGGTCTGGAGAGGGGCGAGGTCTGACTCCAAGTCCGCCCCCAGGCGCTGCGGCACCTCCGACCCCCTTCCGGCTGCTTTGGCCCATCCTGGGGGGCGCTCTGAGCCTGACCTTCGTGCTGGGGCTGCTTTCTGGCTTCCTGGTCTGGAGACGATGCCGCAGGAGAGAGAAGTTCACCAGTAAGTGAGCCCCGGCCTCCCCAGCCGCTTCATCACTCGACCTTTCCCCTGCCCTTGACGACCCCACCTCTTATTTTGCAGCCCCCATAGAGGAGACTGGTGGAGATGGCTGCCCGGCCGTGGCCCTGATCCAGTGACAATGCGCCCCCTGCCAACCGGGGCTCGCCTACTCATCATTCATTCATCCATCTAGAGCCAGTCTCTGCCTCCCAGACGTGGCAGGAGCCACTCCAGCCACAGGGGGGTGGGGGGTGGTGAATCACCTCTGAGGCCTGGGCTCCTGCAGCGTTCAGGGGAGCCTTCCAAGGTGTCTGGTTGCCCTGCTTCTGGCCTCAGAACAGAAAGGGAGCCTTAAGCTGGCTCACACAAACAGCTGACACTGACTAAGGAACTGCAGCATTTGCACAAGGAGGTATCCACCTCCCTAGAGGCCCTGGGGGCTAGGCTGACTTGGGGGACAGACAGACACTAGGCCCCCCTCACTCAGATGTCCTGAAATTCCACCACAGGGGTCACCAGCCTGGGGGGTTAGGGACCTATTTTTAACACTAGGGGGCTGGCCCACTAGGAGGGCTGGCCCTAAGATACAGACACCCCCCAACTCCCTAAAGATGGGAGGAGATATTTATTTTGGGGAAAGTTCGGAGGGGAGGGAGAATTTATTAATAAAGGAATCTTTAACTTTAAATGGTTTGGAGAGGCAGTGATCCCCAACTGACTCCCCTGAGCTGAAGGGAGGGAGTGAGTCAGCCAGCCACGGGGGCGGGGGTGAGGCTCTGACTCACACATTCTCAATGCCTGGAACTCAGCCGGCAGGACCTGGCTGGCCCTAACAGTTTTCCAGGGAAGATCTTGAGAAGAACCCCAGCATCCTGCGCCTCTGCCCTCTCCACCATCCCCAAAAGCCCCAGGTTCCACATGGAAGCCTTTCTTTGCTCAGCAATCTTTATTCAGTTCTTCTTGGGGGTGGGATGCCTCCCTTCCCATGCTCCCACCCCTCTCATCCCAGAGTTTCATTGGGCTCAGTGTCCTCTGTTGAGGGAAGGTCTTGGTGCCCAGATGCCTGGTCTGGAGGAGAGGGAGGCTCCTTGTCCCTTTGCGGGAGTCGCTGGTCTCTTCTGTTGTGGGGAAGAAGGAAGGTGGGAGGGGCGCTGTCCACTAGCACTCAGAGCTCCATTATGTCCCCAGCTGGGGTCGCAGGGTAGGAGGGACTGGGGGTGTCCCCCAGCCTCAGCAGGCGGAGGGCTTCAGGGATGAGGCTGCCAGGGTATCGCCAGAGAAGCAGCTCAGAGCAAGAGCTCCTAGAAGAGGAAATGATAGTCGGCATGGGAGCTGAGGCTGGCCTAGCTGAGCACCTCCCACCAGGAGGTGGGGTCCAGGTCCCCAGGGGCTCCTGGGTTCTCAGCACTTTTCAAAGAGCCAAGATGGGAAACAACCCAGAGGTCAGCTAGAGCTAAATATGGCACGATGAGGCAGGGGCCTGAGGTCAGCACGGAGGACCGCCTGTGATCCTGCAGAAAGCCTGGCCAGTGGAGGAGCCTACCTGAGTGGGGGCAGGGCCGGGGGGAAGGCCATAGGGGGGCTGCAGTAGGGGTGGTCATTGTGCAGGCTGAGTTGAGAGAAATGGGTGGCCATGTTCTCCTCAGACAGAAACTGCTTGCGCAGAGGCTCCCTGGGGAGAGATGAGAGAGAGGGAGGCTGGGATACTGAGGCAGGTGGCAGTGTGTTGGGGACCAGAGGTGACAGAGATCTTGTTGGGAGTCCCTCCCTGCCCCCAAACTCACTGCTCCTCCTCCAGGCGCCGCTTGGTGCTCAGGGGCACAGCTCCTCGGAGAGGGGAGCTGGGAAAAAAAGACAGCCTGGTGCACCCCACCCTCTTGGCCCCTTCCCAAGGATCTGCCCGCCTGAGTCTGCAGCATCAGCCAGGAGCCCCAAGCCCATTCCTGTCTCAGGTGGTGCCTGTCCCCTCTCTCCTGGGCCATCCAGCAGCGTACCTCGAAGTCTCGACCCTGAGCCGAAGACCCAATCCGGTCTCAGCTCACACCTAAGCCCCGCCGATTCGCCCAACACCGTGTCCATCCTGCAGACCAGCTCTGAGCACCCAGCCAAAGCTCCTAAGGCCCTTGGTCAGGCCCACCCTGGTCCCCTACACGCACCTGGCGTCCAGGCCACGAGTCACCCCCAAGGCGGCCCGCGAGAGGCGCTGGGCCCCACCCTGGGGGCCTCGCTCCAAGGGCTGCTGCAGAATCATTGGGTTTTGGGGTCCTGCGGGTGGGATCTGGGCGACGGAGGCGGAGTCTCTGAGGGCGTGGCCCAACGCGAAGGGGTGTGGCTTTAGGCGTGCGCAGCGGCGAGGTTCTGCGCGGGCGCGGCAGACGGGTGGCGTGTGGCGGAAGGCGGGCCTGTTCCCCGGGGTGGGGGAAGGGATCTGGCTTAGCGGAACGGCGGTGGGCGCCACTTCTTAGTGTCGGAGTTTTTCGTGGCGCTCACCTCGGCTCCTGGGTTCAGTACAGTACGCAGCAGCCACCTTCGCGCCGAACGCGGCAGAGCGCCGCGAGGAGGAACCGCTGTAGGCACGTACGGCTTCGTGAGGTTGCGTCGCGCGCGGAGCACTCTGGGACTTGTAGTTCTGGAGATGGAGCGAGCTCTGCCGCTCGTGGTGCCTCTGGGTCAGGTGAGACGGACGTGGTGCGCGGTGCCTTCTGGGGTTTGTAGTCCATGCATAACTTGGACTGGGCGGGCAGGGAATCGTGCCTGGAGCCTTGTTTTGCTCGGGCTGTTTGTGGGACTCAGACTATGACCCGGTGTGCGGGGCGGGGGGCGGGAAAGTAATCAATAAGGCCTCAGGGGCTTAACGCAAGTCAGAGAATAGGGATTACAAGTAGGTACATTTTTCTATTTTGGGATAGTAGAGCCACTTTTTATTTTTTTTAATTTCCTAGCTAGTTCTCGCAAGCAGAGCCACTTTTTTTTTTTTTTTTAAAGATGGGGTTTCACCATGATGGCCAGACCGGTGTTGAACTCCTGACCTCAGGTGATCCACCCACCTTGGCCTCCCAAGGTGCTAGGATTACAGGCGTGAGCCACGGCGCCGGCGGAGCCGAGCCACTTTTTAAACTTTTTTTTTTGAGATGGAGTCTCTGTCGCCCAGGCTGGGGTGCAATGGCGCAATCTCAGCACACTGCAACCTCTGCCTCCCGGGTTCAAGCGATTCTCCTGCCTCAGCCTACAGAGTAGCTGGACTACAGGCATGTCCCACGACGGCCAGCTAATTTTTGCGTTTTTAGTAGAGACAGGATTTCAGCACGTTGGCCAGGCGGGTCTGAAACTCCTGACCTCAGGTAATCTGCCCGTCTTGGCCTCCCAAAGTGCTGGGATTACAGGTGTGAGCCACCGTGCCTGGCCAAATTTTTTTATTTTTTTGTAGAGATGGAGTCTCACCACCTTTCCCAGGCTGCTCTCGAACTCCTGGCGTCAAGCGATCCTCCCGCCTCAGCCTCTCAGATCGCTGGGATTGCAGGCTTGAGCCACAGCACCTGGCTTAAGCACTGAGTGACAGCCCTGTGCAAAGCTCTGTCTATACACTAGCTCATCTAATCGTGACAGAATCTTCTGTCCATTTGACAGTTGAGGAAGCTGGTAGGAGAGGCTTGGGTGCTTGCTCAGAGGTTCATGAAGCATCAGACCTCAACCCTCCCCTTCCTCAGTGTCTTCTTGGAGCCACCCATGGGAATGCATGGTCAGGTGCTGGCTGCTGCAAAAGAGGTCTGAGAAGTCAGGACAGTGGGAGGCCTGGCAAGTGTCAGGGGAAGCAGGGAGGAGTCTGTGGATGGGAGGTTTCAGATGTCCCAGGCAGGCCTCATCCAGTCTTTCCTTGCAGGCAGAGGTGTTTCAGGCCTTGCAGCGGCTCCATATGACCATCTTCTCCCAAAGCGTCTCACCATGTGGGAAGTTTCTGGCGGCTGGCAACAATTATGGGCAGATCGCCATCTTTAGGTACCCTCTGCCACTGTCTACCCATTAGTCCTGGCACCCTGGCACTTGGTCTTCATGGGACGGATGCCTTCTGTTTCTGACTCCTGGGTCCCCTCCATTGTCCCCTGCAGCTTGTCTGCTGCTTTGAGCTCGGAAGCCAAAGAGGAAAGTAAGAAGCCGGTGGTGACTTTCCAAGGTGGGTCTAGCCGTGGAGTCTGGCTTCGGGTGTTTGGGTGGGATTGGCTCACTTACTTCTGGATTTCTCTTTAGCCCATGATGGGCCGGTCTACAGCATGGTCTCCACCGATCGACATCTGCTCAGTGCTGGGGATGGGGAGGTGAAGGCCTGGCTTTGGGCGGAGATGCTCAAGAAGGTAAGGAGTCAAGCTGGGGAAAGGGCTGGGGTGCCCAGAACCAAAAAGGGCCTTTGAGGTCACTTCACGTTTTTCTTTTTGAAGGGCTGTAAGGAGCTGTGGTGTCGTCAGCCTCCATACAGGTGAGCCAGGGCCACGTGGATAGAGGGCGCATGGGGGTGAAGGCACTCCCTCACTGACCCTGACTTTCCTGCCCCAGGACCAGCCTGGAAGTGCCTGAGATCAATGCTTTGCTGCTGGTCCCCAAGGTCTGAGCCCCATGTGACTATTCTTGGCCCAAACTTTGATCCTTCACTCTCTGCCTTTCCTGATTGGACACTGACTTCCTGCCTCACCCTGCCCCTTCATAGGAGAATTCCCTCATCCTGGCTGGGGGAGACTGTCAGTTGCACACTATGGACCTTGAAACCGGGACCTTCACGGTGAGCAGGGGCTTGGAGCCCTAGAGCAGGTCCAGGCCAGGGAGAGGCACTCTTCCTAGATCTCCTGACATCGCCCCTCTACCTGCAGCGGGTCCTTCGCGGCCACACAGACTACATCCATTGCCTGGCATTGAGGGAAAGGAGCCCGGAGGTGCTGTCAGGTGGCGAGGATGGAGCTGTTCGACTTTGGGGTAAGGAGGTGGCTAGTTGGAGGGCAACATGGTAGTGAGGGAGGCTGAGGCTTGTGGGGCACTACTCAGGGTGGGTTCTTTCCCTGCAGACTTGCGCACAGCCAAGGAGGTCCAGACAATCGAGGTCTATAAGCACGAGGTGAGGGCGTGACCGTGGCCGTTGTCCTCTTTCCCAGCAACTCCTTTAACCCTCCAGGACTTCACCTCTTTCCCTCCTCCCCTTCCCCTCCCAGGAGTGCTCCAGGCCCCACAATGGGCGCTGGATCGGTTGTTTGGCAACTGATTCCGACTGGATGGTGAGCAGGGCAGACTGTGGGACAGGTTGGCAGCTTCGGGCCCTGTCAGCTGTGGGCCGTAGCTCACAGCTGGGGACTCCCACCTTTCTGTCCAGGTCTGTGGAGGGGGCCCAGCCCTCACCCTCTGGCACCTCCGATCCTCCACACCCACCACCGTCTTCCCCATGCGGGCGCCACAGAAGCACGTCACCTTCTATCAGGACCTGGTGAGTCCCTCTGTCTCGTCTGCCACCCCCACTGGCTCTTCCCTCCAGCCCTGACCCCTGAGCACCTTCCTTGCCCTCTGCAGATTCTGTCTGCTGGCCAGGGCCGCTGTGTCAACCAGTGGCAGCTGAGCGGGGAGCTGAAGGCCCAGGTGCCTGGCTCCTCCCCAGGGCTGCTCAGCCTCAGCCTCAACCAGCAGCCAGCCGCGCCCGAGTGCAAGGTGGGTCCGGCAGGGGCCTCGGGCAGCTGGGAGGCGGGGGAATGGGCAGGCCAGTCATGCCCCTCTCTTCTCCAGGTCCTGACAGCTGCAGGCAACAGCTGCCGGGTGGATGTCTTCACCAACCTGGGCTACCGAGCCTTCTCCCTGTCCTTCTGACCTCTGACCACACCCCCAGCCAGCAAGGGTTTTAGAGTGGTTTTCTTTTTCTTTTCTTTTTTTTTTTTTTAACAATAAAGTTTCAGGCTTTTCTTCCACGCTCGCTCTTTCCACGAATGGAGGCCAAATCGGTGGCGTGATTTATATATTAATCTCTCCGATCTTGATACATAAATACCCAGCCCCATCCCTGCCCTAGAAATACCCCATAAATCCCCGCCCTGGAAAAGACAGACCTATATTGATTCGGAAAATCGACAGCTCTGTTCACCTGCCCCTGCAACCCACCTGGAGCTTCTGCCCCACAAAGCTGGCTCCGCTCCCGATGAGCTCTTGCCCATCCTCCTGGGGCGGGGAGGGCATCAGCACCTCTTGGAAGACAATCCGTGCCCTGTCGCTCCATTGGCCAGAAGAGGAAAGTGGGCCCCCAAGTGGGCAAGGGCAGCCCCCCGGGCCCCGCCGTCAGGTCCTTCGGAAGAGGTTGCTGAGAAAGCCGCCGGCAGGCCCCGGGCCCAGGCGCAGCGAGAAGCGGGGCGCGGCGCGGTGCGGGGTCGACGACGACGCGGCGGCGCTCAGCTCCTTCTGGCGCTGTGAGCGCAGCTGTTGCCCGATCACCACCTGCATGTCGTCCTGCAGGAGGCCGGGGTCGACTCAGCGCCGGTCCCGCCCCCTGCCCCGCCCCTCACGCAGGCCCCGCCCCTCACCTGCCAGGCCTCCAGCTCCTGCGTGAGCGCCACCTTCTGGCTGATGGCGCGCAGCAGCTCCCGGGACAGGGAGTCTCGCTCCAGAGAGACACGTTTGAGCTCCAGGGACAGCTCCAGGGCCCTAGAGTGGGAGGGGCGGACGACGCATCTGAGGGCGCTGGGACCTCAGGGAGCCGGGGTGACGGGGGACTTCTGGACCCGGGCGGGAGGGGGACTGCCAACACCGAGATCAAGGAGGGCCGTGGGACCCTGGGTGGGGGTGGGGATAATGATAACCAGTATCAGAAGGGGAATCAGGAGCTCAGAGGGGTCCCGGGGGCGCTGGGGTGGTGGTGGATGACTTGAGGCTCACTTGTTCACGGCCTCGTCCCGGTCTGAGAGGGCCCTGTTCAGGGCTTCCCCAGGGTCGTCATGCGCCCGCAGTTCCTTCTGCCTCTGCTGCTCTTCCCGCAGGGCCTGCAGCTCTGCCTGCTGTAGCGCGATCTGTGGGCAGAGGAGGGGCCGCGCGGCAGATGGGCCAATGGGCCTTCCAGTCCCTGCTCCTCCCAGCAGCCCCGACTCTGGCTCTCCCCAGCTATCCTCTGCCTGCTCGACAGACACCCCAGGCAGCTGTGGCCCTGTGCTGGAGACTCCTAGATGAGCCCTCTGAGCCCCTCAGGCTGGTGCGCGGTGGGGTGGAGCAGGGTTAGTTGGGGTGCCATAACCCTCCAGGAGGAATGCAGGGAGAAGCACTAAGGAACTAAGGGGAGAGGTGCTGTCGGGAAGTCTTCCTGGAGGAGGTGGCATACAGGCTAGCTCTTGAAGTAAGTCTGTTGGGATGAAGGCCAATTCAGGTGTGGGAAGTAGAAAAGTTCTTTTTTTTTTTTTTTTTTTTTTTTTTTTGAGACGGAGTTTCGCTCTTGTTACCCAGGCTGGAGTGCAATGGCGCGATCTCGGCTCACCGCAACCTCCGTCTCCTGGGTTCAGGCAATTCTCCTGCCTCAGCCTCCTGAGCAGCTGGGACTACAGGCACACGCCACCATGCCCAGCTAATTTTTTGTAGTTTTTTAGTAGAGACGGGGTTTCACCATGTTGACCAGGATGGTCTCGATCTCTTGACCTCGTGATCCACCCGCCTCGGCCTCCCAAAGTGCTGGGATTACAAGCGTGAGCCACCGCGCCCGGCGAAAAGTTCTTTTTTAAAGTTTCCTTTCTTGTTAAAGAATAAGTGTGCTAATTCTTTGTTAAGCTCTATCCTATGCAGCTGTTAAACATGCCATGCTTACAGGCACATAGTACGTTCTGTGTCCTTGTACTTTAACCAGGATATCTGTGCTGGACGTGCTCACAGGCATGTCCCAGCTCTCCATTGCTTTTACCTGTTTAGAAAAATTTTAAGTTGTCGGCCAATTGGGTTTTACTTTAAATTGTGAGGTCTGGCTCCAGTCAACGGAGATCAGACAAAGCAGTAGGGACGACCCCAAATGCATAAGGAATATATTTGTGTGTCTTCTTTGTTCATTGTACTCTTCTGGCACGATGATTGCAGGGTACTCTTCCTGCAGTCCAGGAAGTAAGAATTGGTGTGCTGAAAGATTCTGTCTCAGTGCTAATTTTTCTTTGCCGCACGGAGCATCTATTTCCAACACAGGTGTAGGGAGCTCCGTGGGCAAAGGCTGGGAGGCGACATGGGAGACAGAAACTGACAGCTGGAGGGGTCCTGCCACCAGCAACGTGCCCTCCTCTTCCCCACCTCATCTTGCAGCTTGGCCACTTCCGCCTCCTGCTCCTTTAGTATCTCCGCTGGGCTGAGGGATGCTCGCTTCTTGGGGGGCTCTAAGCTCTCCTCTGGGGGTGAAGGCTGGGGCCTGGACGCCTCTAGGGTCTTTGGGGACCGGGTGGTCTGTGGGCCAAAGAAATGGGTTAGTGGCGTGGAGTCTGTTGCGGAAAGGAGGAAAGGCGGCGCCTGCGACCCTCCCGATGGCACAGGTAACAGGATTGGTGCCCTATGAGCTCACCGGGGCGTCTCCGCGTGCGTCAGCGCCCTGGCCCTGGCCGTCCTCGTCGAGGCTGTGTGCCAGCTCCGACTGCAGCGAGGCGCTCGACAGGTCGGCGTCTTGGAGTCGTGACTCCTCCTCCAGCTCCGAGACTCTCCGCTGCAGCCTCCGCAGCGCGCTCAACGCCTCCCCGGCCTCGGAGCGTGCGCGTTCCAGCTGTGGACGGTCCCGCAGACGGAAGTGCGGGCGGTCAGCGGGACCACCCAGCACCCGCATCCCGCGGCAGGTCCACGCTGGGGGGCCGCAGAGGGCCCCGCACCCCAGCGGCCCAGGTTGTTCCCATTCTTGGATCGCTGGGCAACTTCAGCCGTGCCTTCCCTCAGCTGAGATACCAATTTCCTCGCCTATAAAGTGGGGCCCACCTCGAAAAGCCCTCTCCCCTCCCCTGCCCAGTCTACCTCCTCACTCACTAATTGCTTTCACGCGGCATTTAGCAGTGCGACTGAGGCTGTTTGCTCCACAGTAGTAAGAAGCAGCACTGGGATGCGAAGGCAGACAAGCCGACCCCAAAGTGCAGAGTCCTGAGACCTCTAACATCAGACCATGCGTCCTCTTTTCATTCCTTTTTCTGTCTAGGGGCTGTCATTCCTGGCCTGAGCTCTGGCATCAGCCCCGTCCCTGGCCCTTCCAGCTGCCAGGCCCTGATGCATTCTAAGAGCATGCCTCCCCTGCTCAACGGCCTTCCGTGGCTCCCACTTGCCTACAGGCTAATGCCCATGGTCTTGTGGGCCAGCCTCTGGGCCTCCCAGTGACCCAGCTCTGGCTTCATCTCCCAGAAAGTGCTGAAGCCACTGCCAAGGGTCGAGGCAGTCATAGTCCCCCAGCCCTGCAGCTCACCTCCAAGCTGTGCTCCCGCCGCTCCCGCTTCAGCAGCAACAACTCCTCGTGGGTGGTCTGCAGGCGGCCCTGGCCCTTCTCCACCTCCTCACGCAGGCCTCGGATCTGGGCCTCCAGGTCCTGCCGGCGGCTCTGCAGCATCTGGTTCTGGGGAAACACCTGAGAGCTGGGGAGGGGGCCACCCCCTCCCAGCCCCCAACCCAGCTTTTTCATCTCAGGCAATCCCCGAGCCCCAGTTGGCACTCACCTCCCCTTGCAGACTCTCCAGCCGCGTCCTCAGCTCTGCCCCAGCCAGTGCCTGAGCCTGGCACTGTCCCCGAAGGGTGTCCAGTTCCCTCTGAAGCTCCTGCTCAGTCTGGGAGGCCTGGCGAGGTAGACAGGGGGACAGAGGAGCCTCAGCACCAAGCCCAACGCACCCAATCCCCACTGGGGACCCAGGCGTCCTCCCCAACCTTGCCCGGGTCCCTGGGGTCAGGGCTGTCCCACCTGGGCCAGCTGCTGGCTGAGGCGGAGGTTCTGCTCACTGAGCTCACCGAGGGCCCTCGCCCGTTCTCGCCCACTGTCCTGCTGTTCTGAGCGCTGCTCCCCCAGCTGTGCCCGCAGGGCCTCCACGTCTCCCTCCAGCTCCACGGCCCTGGCCTCCCACTCAGCTCCCCGGGCTGCCAGCCCTCGACGGAGCTCATGGTTCTCTTGCTGGAGCCGCTGTGGGGGCCACGACAGAGGGACAGAGACAGAGTGGCACCGATGAGACTGGACAGGCACAGAGAGATGGGATGGAGAGACAGACACCTAAGGAGAACACCTAAGGGGGCCTTGTGTCCAAGACAGACACAAAAGCAAGGGAGAGTGCAGGAGGAACAGTGAGCAAGACCCAGAAACCCAGAGGCAATGTTCCAGGCAGATGGGACTTACGGGCCCCGGTGCAAGGGTGGGGGTGGGGCTCTCTGATGCCCACTCACCTCCAGCTGCTGCCTGGGCTTCTGGACCCGAGGTCGCAAGCGCCGTTTTTGGCGCCTCAGTCTGGCAGAATTCAAGCCCCGGCCCATGGTGGCACACACCTGCTGTGGCCCACGGGCTCTGGAGCCCAGACTCTGCCCAGCCCCCTCCCTAGCTCCTCCTGGCCAGTTCCCTCTAATTAACCCTGGTCAGCCCCGCCCTGGTCCAAAACCTGTCTGACCAGCGGAGGGATGCCCTGGCACACCCAGATGCCCAGCGTGGGGAAGCAGATGAGTTGGGGATTAACCTCTGGCCCACCCTCTTCCGCCCTCAAAGCGGGCTGCGCCTACATGAAGGTGTCAATTTCTCCAGCAGCTGCAGGGACTCAGGTACCCTGCACCAGGGCTTTATCTGCATTGCTCCATTTCATCCACTAGAGGGAGAATCACTAACGTCCTGGGTTTACAGATAAAATTGAAGCTCAAAGAGATGCTGAGTGCCTTGGCTAAGGACACACAATCATTTATTTTTGTTTTGTTTTTTTGAGACAGGTCCTCACTCTTTTGTCCAGGCTGGAGTGCAGTGGCATGATCTCGGCTCCCTGAAATGTCTGTCTCCTGGGTTCAAGACATTCTCCTGCCTCAGCTTCCCAAGTAGCCGAGATTTCTGGCATGGTGCGCCACCCCGCCTGGCAAATTTTTTTGTTTTCTTAGTAGAGACGGGGTTTTACCATGTTGGCCAGGCTGGTCTTGAACTCCTGGTCTCAAGTGACCCACCCTCCTTGGCCTCCTAAAGTGCTGGGATTACAGGTGTGAGACACCGTGCCCAGCCAACACACAGTAATTTCGTGAAGCAGAGATGCCAACTCAGGCAGCAAAACTCTTCAACCGAATACTGTGGGGGCAGTAGGATTAAGCTGTCAGGTTCAAGGTCAGATTGTTCTGGCGGATGCTTGGCTCTGCTGATGCCTTGTGGCCTGCACATAATATCTCTTAAGTCCATCCACCCACACTACTATCGATCCTACAATATTTCCTGAGCTCCACTTGTTCTGGGGTTCGCTGTCAGCAAGTTCACTGCTTCAAGCAGCTCAGAGTCCAGAGAGTATGGACACATGCTAGAGTCAGGTAATTTCAGGGGACATTAAGTGTTGTAAAGAGACCTGGGAAGTGATGAAGAGTAAGGAGTGGGGTGGAGGTGGAGGGTCCTTCAAGGAGGATGTTGTGTTTGAGTTGACTTCTGCAGGACAAGAAGGAGCCACCAGAAAGAGGGCCAAGCATTAAGGAACAGCAGGTGCAAAGCCCAGAGGGAACAAGCGTGAGCTCTTGGAGGAACTGAAAAGAGCCCTTGCTGTGGGGGAGAGGGTGGTGCAGCTGCCCTTCTTGGAGGAGGGGAAGAAGGAATGCTTCTGTGATGAGGTGAGAGAGGAGCCCAGCTCTTGGGGACTTTAAGGCCCTGGGGAAGAATTTCCGTTTCATTCTAAGAGTGAGGGGGAGATTCTGGGTGAGGAGTGAAAGGATCTGATTTGCAGTTTTTGAAGATCCTGGGGTGTCTCTTAGAGCATGGGCTTCAGGGGTCAAGAGTGGAAGCTGGGAGTTGGGCATAGTGGCTCATACCTATAATCCCAGCACTTTAGGAGGTCAAGGCAGGTGGGTCATCTGAGGTCAGGAGTTCGAGACCAGCCTGGCCAGCATGATGAAACCCCATCTCTACTAAAAATATAAAAATTAGCCAACTGTGGTGGCACATGCCTGTAATCCCAGCTACTAAGGAGGCTGAGGTGAGAGAATTGCCTGAACCCCCTGAAGTGGGGGTTGCAGTGAGCCGAGATCACACCACTGCACTCTAGCCTGGGTGACAGAGTGAAACTCCATCTAAAAAATAATTTAAAGAGAGAGAGAGGAGAGAGAGAGGAGAGAGAGAGAGAGAGAGAGAGGCCGGGTGCAGTTGCTCATGCCTGTAATCCCAGCCAAGGGAGGCCGAGGTGGGCAGATCTCGAGATCAGGAGTTTGAGAACAGCCTGACCAACATGGTGAAACACTGTCTCTACTAAAAATATAAAAATTAGTTGAGCATGGTGGCGGGCGCCTATAATTCCAGCTACTCAGGAAGCTGAGGCAGGAGAATCACTTGAACCCAGGAGGTGGAGGTTGTGGTGAGCCAAGATGGTGCCACTGCACTCCAGCCTGGGCAACAGAGCGGAACTCTATCTCAAAGAAAAAAAAGAGTGGATGCTGGGGACTTGGGAGCAGGTGGCTGGAGTGTCTGGGGCAGAGGTGATGGAGGCTGTGATCAGCTTGAAGGCTGCACAGCTGACAAGTGGGTGGTTCGAATTTAGTTTAGAAGAATCAAAACGGCTTGTGGATATAGGGGGAATGTGTGCACTCAACAAAGGTTGGCTGGGCACATTATCTCACACCTATAATCTCAATACTTTGGGAGGCTGAGGCAGGGAGTTTGCTTGAGCCCAGAAGTCATGCCTTCAGTCATAACTTTTTCCGCAAAGTTTTTGCAGCAAAGGGCAGATAACAGGGGAATGTAGCAGAGTTTATCTAAATAGCTTGTTTACCTATTCTCCCCACTTCCCAAACCAACCTTTGATCATCCATGCGCATGACTGCTCTCTACTGGGGGAGGGGGGGGTCAGCAATGTTAATTACCCACAAGTGGTGTTTGCTCAAGACTTTTGTCATTAAATCTGTTCTAAAGGCCGGGCGCGGTGGCTCAAGCCTGTAATCCCAGCACTTTGGGAGGCCAAGGCGGGTGGATCACGAGGTCAAGAGATCGAGACCATCCTGGTCAACATGGTGAAACCCCGTCTCTATTAAAAATACAAAAAATTAGCTGGGCATGGTGGTGCGTGCCTGTAATCCCAGCTACTCAGGAGGCTGAGGCAGGAGAATTGCCTGAACCCAGGAGGCGGAGGTTGCGGTGAGCCGAGATCGCGCCATTGCACTCCAGCCTGGGTAACATGAGTGAAACTCCGTCTCAAAAAAATAAAATAAAATAAAATAAAAAAATAAAATAAATCTGTTCTAAAATAAATTCAAGTGTGTCTGGTATATTAGGGCTGCATGGACGAACTCCTTCTTCGGGGTCTGTAAGCTCTGGGGTCCCCTAGCTGTGCTCTCACAGAAAAAACACCTGTGTCTGTGTACTTCTGTCATCTGTCACTTGGCCGGAGTCTGTGGGTCAAACTTGGCAATTTAGCCACTTGAAAACTTTGCTGTACATTCATGAGAGAATGACAGTAAAAAATGTAAATGTCTTGGGCAACATGGTGAGACCCCATCTGTACAAAAAATACAAAAACCAGCCAGGTATGGTGGTGCACATGTGCCTGCAGTCCCAGCTACTTAGAAGGCTGAGATGGGAGGATTGCTTGAGCTTGTGAGATTGAGGTTGCAGTGAGCTATGATTCCACCTCTGCACTACAGCCTGAGTGACAGAGGGAGACCCTGTTAAAAAAAAAAAAGAGAGAGAGAGAGAGGCCAAGGAGGTGCACAGGCCCTGGTCCTCAGGTGGGAAGGTGGGGATGGGGACAGCAGGTGATGGGGGTGTAGAATCGAGTGCCACTTGTGTTGAGATGCCCACTAGGTGGCCTGGTGGAGACAGTTAGCTACCCAAGTCAGGTTCAGGGCAGTGGTTGGGGCTGATGCCTCAGATAAAGGAGGGTGTTCAGAAGACCAGGTGTGAGCCCCAGAGGGAGAATTCGGCCAAAAATAGAACCTGGGCAGAGGGAACTGTTCCTACCTCATTGGGCTGGGCGAGAATCAACAGAGTCATGAAAAGCACTTAGCCCAGTGCCAGACAGGGAGTGGATACCCATGACTGTTGCCTGTTGTTCCGCTATACTGCTGAGGAGCTGGACCCAAGATCCAGAGAGGGCCAGCAACTGACCTAGGGTCACACAGCCGGGCAAGGTTTTGACCCTAGGCCTTCCTTTCCATTTTTTTTTTTTTTTGAGACGGAGTTTTAGTTTCGCTCTTGTCGCCCAGGCTGGAATGCAATGGTGCCATCTTGGCTCACCGCAACCTCTGCCTCCCAGGTTCAAGCGATTCTCCTGCCTCAGCCTCCCGAGTAGCTGGGATTACAGGCAGGCACCAACATGCCTGGATAACTTTTTTGTATTTTTAGTAGAGACGGGGTTTCTCCATGTTGGTCAGGTTAGTCTAGAACTCCCGACCTCAGGTGATCCAACCACCTCGGCCTCCCAAAGTGCTGGGATTACAGGTGTGAGCCACCACACATGGCC